CGAATCTTTAATCAGGAAATGAATGTTGTGCTGATGTCCAATGAATCTAAAACACAAGAATCGCAGACTAGTAAACTAACAACTATTCACCGTAGCCCCTCCCCCCCCCCCCCTGGGGTGGGCCAACAAGTCCTTTAGAGCATGCTAAATGGAATCAAAACGGGAAAGTTAAATAAATTGAAGAAGTGTTATGTGGAAAAGTCAGGTACGGTATAAAGCACCCATTGTGTTGAAGGATGCTGTTGCGCAATCTCAGTACGTCAAAACTCAATTTGGAACTGAATACAGCTAACGCGATCATTAGTGACCACGATCCTAACAACAGGTAAAATATTGATACGTTCGAAAGTAATACAAAGCCGGATTAATAAAGTCGCAGTGCTTCAAGAAGGCACATTTCCCGCGCGGGAAGGAAAAGTCTAATTTGAATATAGTATAAAATATATATATAGAGATATATATATAAATATATGATAATATACCCGGAAGGAGTCCCGCTGGATCACACCTGAAAACAGATAATGTGTGTCATCGGGTACCATTGCGTACATAAGGAAATATGGTGTACAGTAAAACAAAAAAGAAAACAAACAAAGTTTTTTCAACTCCTTTCCCCTTCCACAGTGTTTGAGCTTTTGTGATGTTCTTATAAAGGTGCAAGAAAAGGGGACACCGCAACAAGCAGAGATACACCCCCGCAGTTTGAGTTCGTTTCGAGTCATGACGCCAAAGTTTTCCAAACTCAACCGCAATCACATCCTTTGGCACCCAATCCAAGATATGGCAGAAACCAACCGTGGCCCAGCTTTTTTGGACAGCTTTTCACACCCTGCTTCTCTAAGTTGTAGGCTGTCTCACCAACACCCGCGTCCTCCATCCCTGTCCAGCGAACCTGAACAAGGCACGACGCGGAAGACCGTGAACGGGTATACGCGGTACGTGTCCCGAGACATCGTCGAGTTGGCGCAGCGAGCCATGCGCCTCGAGGGATGTGGCTGCCGTCCACCCAAGACACGCACTAGTCTGACTACACCGTTGGTTTCCGTGTGGTGCAGCCAACCACACACGAGGAGACACTTGGACACGTAACCAATCGGTTCTCGAATGACAGACAGTCGGCGCCGGATCCCTCGGTAACGGAGCAAGACCAAAATGACTCGCAATTCCGTATTCAACAGTATCAGCGCGGGTGACAGGACGGAACTAAAAAACGCCGCCCATTGGAAGGTTGAGGGACGGATGTCATGGCCGGCGCCATAAATGCCCTCAGCCTGGAGAATGGGCGGGACGAGCTCTCGACAGATGGAGCAACAAAAAATCTCGTTGTCCAACAGCCCCCACCAGCAGATTATGCACGTTCCCATGGTAGGACAAAATAACTGTACCACTGTCTAAGCGTCTTCCCCATACGACTGGTCGAGTAATGGGGCGACGATATGCCAGTGCTTGATAAAAGCAGCGCTTTGCACTTGGATGGTGAAAAGTGCCATGCCATACTTCCAGGCGCTTTACACTTTTTTTACTCGCCCGGGCAGCTCGAGAGCAAGTCTGCGACGGCTGTCGTGACTGCCGTCACCCCACAAGACTGATATCATCAGCGCTAATCCAAATTCTGGACACTCACGACTACTGAGGAGGAGCACAACGCCAGCGATCAAATAGTCTTCTAGAGCGATTTTGAGGGACATCCTCAATGGCTAAAGAGTAAGAGGAATGTAGTGAGCATAGAGCATCCTTGTCGAAGCACCCACTGGTGAACAAGAAAGGAAGAGCCGAAAGCTGGCCACAAGCTCTAGCCTCAATGCCCGTAGCATGGTCAGTACGATACCGAGCCGCAGAAACGTGAAACGAGCTACTTTCCAAGCGAAAGACATTCCCACAATCGGACCGAGCCACACTGCAGCCCTGTCGACAGAATCGAAAGGCATAGCACGGGATATACAGGAACTACAACACATCCGTTAGCTTTTCGCCTAACACATGGCGAAGCTCGAGAATCTGCGGATGTGATACAATCTGAGCAGATGCAGCCGCGACCAGGGCGGGACCCTGACCCGTACTGACTCGCCGGTAAGTGTATCTCACGCGTTGGGGATAGTAGTCGGCGAAGAAGTGATGGACACCAGATCCTGCAAACGACGTAGAACCAAAGCTTGACTGTCCCTGTTAATAGGAGCAGTTTGTGCGCAGCGTGCACCTTCTGAAGCAGGCGGCCACGACTAACGGAACTTCACTGCCAGGATGACGGAACCTCGCTCTTTTTGTACCAGACCCTCTGAGAAACAAAGCGGGGAGTTCTCGAACCAGCGTGAATACACTCTCCATGCATGTAAGATAGTTAGCAGAAGGTAAACCATCAGAGGCCGGGTGCCTTATAAGCGGCATATCAGCAGCAGAGTTACATCGCCAGATTTTCGCTGGTGAGAGGGAGGAACAGTTTGGTGATAGTCCACTCAGCACCAGTGCACCACGCCCTAGGGGGAACAGATTAGCCACCTGGCGTAGCCAGGAGCACTTGCGAGCCTGGAAAATGTTCGGCCCAACGCGTCCCATACTCGTCGTTAGAAGAATAGTGATTAGGGGAGCCATAAACTCCCGCAGGATTGTTTCGCGTAACTCCAGCTCGGTAAGCCTTCGTGTGACTCGAGGCAGGTGGAACATGTTTTCCGGTATAATACATGAGAGATTTAGCAAGTTCCCAGCCTCTCCTAGCACCTGTCCACACCACCAGGTCTCACGATCCTTCTGTAAGCTCTCTACGCCAAACGCTCGACTCAGGTATCGGCGTTCCTCACTACAGCTGGTGTCGGCTGGATCACGCGCGGCCTGTCCATACGCGACAAGTGGCAAGCTGGCGGTGTGAGACCAGCTTTTTCGGGCGGGCGAGACAAGCCAAATCCACAACTGACAGTACATGGCAGAAAGTACAAGCGTCTCTGCATGCGCAGCCATAGCGAGTTTGAGACCATCGCTCAGACACGGCGGATGAAACAAGTAGGGTGTAGACAGAGAACAGCGTCGGATACTTTGGCTAACGTTTTCGCAAGAGGTTTTGCAGATTATTGGACATTCAGCATCCGGTAGTAGACGAACGTCTGTGGATGATTCCTGCCGCAAGGCAAGCAGGAATATTTGACGCACGAACCAGGCTGCGTGAACGAAGTCCAGACAACCGTCTGACGCGAGTACGATCGGCAGTCAGGTCGCTGACCTCCGCGCCATACTTGGTATCTAATTGCTATGAGGTTATGTGTCAGTGCTGCGGTAGCCAATCCTTGTGTTTGAGAAGGCGGACACGCCACCAGATAGCCAGACTGCCAGTTTTCGCATGAGCGTGAAAACTCTGACGCTCGAAAGAAAACAAGCTATGATCAAACAAAGACATGTCAAGTAGATCTGTCCGTCCAATGTCCTGGATTACCGGCTGTATTACCCGAGGCCAAAAACTACTTCCCAAAAGATGGTGCACACGCTTTGGTGGCAAGGCGGCCCACGTCGTGCGTGTTAAGAAATCGTCCGGCGAAGAGTGACAATGTCAGCACTTCTATAGGCGGAACGCAGACGCGCATGTAGCGGGAAGGTAACAAGGAGGCCATCCTTGACATGTCGAGTCCACGCGCTGCTTGTCTGTAGGCGCGTAGGCGGAGATGACAAACAAGGCAACGACGCGTAACATCGCGACGCTAACATAACTTACACGGACCTCGTAGTCTGACTTGTACATAGCGATTGTGAGACTGGGATCCAGTCAAGCAAAGCGACCTCACCCTGTCACACAATTGCCACCACCGACGCCAGCTTTGGTCAGAAGCGGGGCGTTCTGGGTCTCCGGAAAGGCGTAGGTGATAATTTGGAGTCAGGGTGTTGCTGGGGATGTCATTCTAGAATAGATATCAATACTGCGTCTTGCAACCTGTTTTTCGGAAAGGCCAGATGTTCCACCCGAGTGTCGGTCACGGATGCAGTCCAGAGAATCTATGTCGTTCAGGACCCTGTCATGCCAGAGTGGACACATTGCGACGCTGCACATTCCGAATGAATGAACCAGGAGTGACGAAAACCTGGTCTTACCTTTGAGTGGATGTTGAGACCACCGGGCAATGGAACTCCAACGACTGTCTAATAACCTGACGATGCGTCCAGTGAACTGATGTGGACGTTGACCGGGGAAAGACTAGTTCATTTTGAGGAACTGTGGACGGTGACAACTGTGAGCGTGGATGTTGAGCATCAGAGATACAGTAAAGCCAGTAGACATAGCAAGTGAAGAAAGCAGTAGTGTAATGCATCCATGCTCTCATGTGGTGCGTGACACTAACCATGGGTGTGTGGTTGGGCCCGGTTGTCGCAGGTCTATGTAAGACGGATGTCGTTAGGTGGGCCCTACCCCTGAGCCTTTGATTGCCAGGCAGCAAGAGACGAATAATGAGGCATTTCGCAACACCGTTTGGGAGCCGGTGCACCAAACCAGATGCGCTCTCATATAGCCGTTTGCAAGGCACCGTATAGGCGACCATCGGGCACACACGCGCCCATGAATTTACTACTGCCCGCCTCAGCAGTGAGGCAGTAGGGGCGAGTGACTTAATTTAGTGCGAGTCACATCCGCCACGTCACATTGTTGTTAAACATACCTATTGTGGGCTTTTTATAGGGAGAACGCATTGCCAGGAGGAAACGCACAGTCCTTGGAACACTGCCGCCGAACCATTCGCAGGAACGGGATAAACCCGAAACCCAGCCCGGCTCGCACCAAGAGTTGTTCGTCAAAGCCAGCCTCAACAGGCTCCCCGTGTGCCGTGCAAGGCGCCCCCCCTCAAGCGGATGGGCCTCACCATCCATTGAGAAGCCGGACTGACGGCCCAGCCACCCGCTATTGTGTACGGTCTGTGTACGCCCATGAGTCCTCTTACATAGATAGAAATGCTTGGAGCTTGCCTTGCATTTAAAGAGTGGTGTGGGGCCGGCTCCGTGGGATTTTGTCGAGAACAGTAGACTCTCTAGTACCAAAGGCTCATCGTCCCCACCCCCCCCCCCCCCCCCCCCCCCCCCCCCCCCCCCCCCCCCCCCTGCCCCCCCCCGCCCCCCCCCCCCCCCCCCCCTCTCTTATATCATTCGCCCGCAGCAGTTATTCGTAGTTAGTCATAACTCCATAGTCAAAGTAATACAAAAAGCCAAAAAACTCCATGGCGCTAAGCTGAATTAAGCGGCACTGAGACGCTGCCAGATTCATCAATCATCCGCAGGAGCAGTAGCCTATGAGGGTGAGGAAACACACTTCGAGCTAAAATTGTCCGCGCAGGAGAATCGAAGAGAAATGCAAAGTGAGACGTGCAAGTTGACAAAAAAAATAGAACAAAACATTTTGGAATTGTTTTTCATTTCTTGCGCCGAATTAGTTCACATTATGTATATGTCCTTGTTACCATGACTTTGAAGATATAGTTCTAACAACGTGACATCGACATGTACGACTCTGGTTCACAATTCATCCACCTGGTTCCGGTTTCGGACCATTCCCTTGGGTCGCCATCTTGCAAAGGACGATTACGCGGTTCAACGGTGGCTAGACCGTGATCGGTCAATGACGAGTTTCATTGTGCCTGTCGTCCGAAGTGATGCAAGGCGGGAGCCACACAGAGGGCGGTCGGTCCCATCCTCAGGTGTCTTGACGATAACGAGTAAGATGCGCGATGACGGTCGATAGCACGCCTACAAGGACGCTCATGCTGATAGGAGTGTGACGCAAAGCGCATCTCAAACAGGCGCACAGCATAACCATTGTTTGTTTGAAACTGGGAATTGCATCAGCTTATTCCCATAAAGATTGCGATGACGCAATGCGCTATTATTCATGTGAATCTCGATATTGCCCAACCACCGACCTCCTTAATAGCCAACCCTATTGATCCGAAGGCCTTGAAAAGATCATTACGATCCGACATTGGCCATGGACATTTGCTTCTCATTACAACAATACTGGACGAACATGATGCCGCTGTAGCACGACTAAACTCCCTGTTGAATCGAGAATTGGCAGACTAGTCAACTAGATGATAACATCATAGCTGTTAGTGCCGTCAGCATAGAACATCAGCCTCCAAAGCTTGAGACAGAAAACTAACTTAACCAGTTCAAGTCATCGTGCACCTACAAGACGTGAGCACGGAAGCGCTCGTGTTATAGTCTATCGCTGGGAGCAGCACTGTTACCACGTCGATTAGGCGCAGACAACACGCGCATATGCCTTTAGAACGGCTTCACCCCGAGCCAACCGCGATCAGAAATGAGTTGCATACCTCTGAGGATCGTCACAAGAATAAGGCCGATAACTAATCAGCGTTAAGTCAAAGTCGGTCTGCGCGAGAGCACCTCGAGATCAGAAGTGCTTCGTAAGGTTCAACATTGTGGAATCCAATAGGGCGCGCTCGACAGAAACGTCTCCTCGAATAGCGGAAGGTCAAAGAGGAATGGGGACATAAGGTCAGGTCAGATTCGCACGACGGCTGCGGGGTTTGGTTAATCCCCCCTTGGGGGGAGGAGGGGTGAGCAGAGCGCATGTCGAGGACAGTTGCCGGCCTAGGACCTATCACCTCACCGTCGGACGGTACTGACTAGAGGCGTGACATGTGCACGTGAAGATGGCGGTATACTTCTATATGGCACCACCAGTTCTTTTAGCAAGCAAGCGCCATTATAAGGCAGGTCGATCATATGGAGTCACGAAGGCAGCAACGTATAGTCTAGGTGTAATTGTAACGATAGTGTGTGCCTAGAGATATATGATGTAGTGGCTAGTGTCCGAAGTTGAGGTTGGCCGTGAGCGCGTGAAGATTTGATCATATTGCTATTCAGGGCGGCCGCGTCACCGGAGAACCATATTTGTTCTCCACTGTAGTACTGAATTTCACGTAGTGGGGAGCAGTCGTATGACGCAGACAGGATGCCAATATGCATGGATTGGTAACGGAAGAATCACACCTAATTCTACGACGAATGATATGTAGAGGCGATCATGAAGTCCGATGAGACTAGCGAGTGAAGATCCGACGGGCAAATAATAGCGGTGATTCGTGACCCCAAGATGCGAAAGTCCACCTTTACGTCTCATGATGCTGAGATTTGTTGCAAAAGAGATGTTACACTTCTGGTTAGTTTTGAATCGCACCATGCCGCCGATACGTACGAACAGCTTACCTGGAGAAAAGTCACCGTCAAAGACGTCAGGCAAGCATAAAACTCGACTCCACATAGCGTCGAGACCCAGCCTCGAGGGCAGACGTTCGCTCCGCTAGGGAGATTCATGTGGCGGACGAGCCAGCGTTAGCCACGAGACAAGGCCCTACAGCGTACATAAGACGGATCGGACGGTGGTGAGGCCAGTTAAAACTGCGGAATGAAGAGCACGCTTCGACTCAGACGGTCCAAAGGTCTGTTGGTAGGTGATCGGCGACGATCTCAACATCCGTGTCGGGAAATAACCTCTAATGAACACCAAGCGTTCCTAGAAGCAGTGGATCGGATGAGGTTTAAAAAGAAGCGAGTGTTGCCAGAGAATGTGCCAGCAAACGCACATCGTATAAAAGCATGCACTCACGGACCATCATGAAGCCTCGCGATCCTAGCGGTAGGCTTTGCCTGAAAGCACGACACGCATTAAGCTCATGGAATGGCGACTGACTCGTTGACAATTTGGAATCCACCCGGCGATCATCTTTGCGTGGTAGCGTCGAAACAGGCACCAGAGAGCTAGCGCCGGCACACTTGACTCCGCCGGAATGCGTTCGTACAGTCTTTTGCACAGAACGTGTCCAGTGATAGTGATGGATTGTATAAGTGCGTAAGACCCAATGACGGACTGATAAGTCGGCTTGGGCAGAGGAATCAGTGTAATCTGTGGATACCTCGAAAACTTGCTGCGTGTTGTTTCTGCTTCTCGGGACCCCCCCAAAACACGTGTATAGATTTGCGCGCGGACACAGTGCATGATCTGAGACAACGAAGTTGCCCAAAAGACCTGCCAGATCGCGTACAACAGCCATGTCCCATACAGAAGCTGACGCAATGTGCTCAACAGGAGACCACGGTTTGTGATGGCGAAGGCGGGGACACCACGTGCGGGAGCGCTTCCTCTCGTACGCCAGAAGTTATGCTCGAGAGAAAATAGATGGTTTCATCGCGACAATGTGAGAAACCCTCCGTGTCAGGAGGCGTTTTCTCATCGAGCCGCCTGGGTGACTACTAAGGTTATAATCGTATGGCAAGAACAGCCAACCCTGTGCATAAAAATCCCCATAAAGGACAGCGACATCCGACATTTTAGCTTTAGTAAAGAGCTGAAGTAACCTCCCGATGGAAGTCCGATCCTTGACATAGCACACTACTAAACAGTCAGTAGGCAGAGTACGCGAACACCAAATTTTGCGTGCACTCTTTCGCGACGCTTGTTAATTCCACAGGTACCCCGAATTTTGAACGCACACAGTCGGCTGTTAATCGGAAACATAGTCTATCATGGCGTCTTTTGGCCATGCGACTACACCTGACAAACTTCACTGAAGTGCGCTTCTGGTTCGCAGAGACGCAGTTCTATCTGCTTCATGTTCAGTGGATGTCAGCCGTAACACAGTGCAGGTGGCCTTACAATCATGTTTTATGTGAAGGTAACATGAAGTCACTAATATCGAGTTGACCCAAGGGTGCACACTAAAATCGGAAACCGACTTGCTGTCTAAAGTGCAGTGCGTGTCCGAACGTTGAGAGCACGCCAGAGAAAACGATGATCTGGGTCGAAGGAGTGCGATAGGCTGAACTCCATGGTTTGCGGCGCAACCGGAAACGCAGCCAGATTTTTGAATGCATGAATCGGGTAACGGAAAGTAAGGATTGTAACAAATAATAAATAAATAAACAAAAAAAACAAATAAATAAACTTCAGATACTCATTTAGGAGTTTCAATGAATCACGGGCAATGCTGGTCTTCAGCAAAGCAAAGATTCCCATTTCTTTAAAATGAATCAGTAATCAGAAATCCATATATCAGGAGAAAAGAATTCATTCTATTTCGGTAAATCTCATCAGACCCAAACTTTTACATAACAGTGATTGTGATATAGCGTCAACTGGGGCTGGGATTGACGTTCTTGACTGTTTGAATGACCAAAATCGATAACTTGAGACAGAGATAGAGATGGTAGGACCAAAGTAAAACTAAATAATACATGTAGTGACAGCAATTAGGCTCCATTAGTACAAAGGTAATTTAAGTAGGTAAGTAAGTACAGTCCAAGATAACTAAGTAACCGGTGGTCCGTTGGTCCAAGGTAGTAGAATCGGCCCGTATAATTATCCGGTTTTTGGACACACAATTCCGGCTTTAGATGGTGAAGTACATAGCCTCGGCGATGGCTAAGAGCCGATTGCAGGAATCCTTGTGGGAGAAATAAAGTAAACAAACAATTGTCGTATGGATGAAGTCCGCTGAAGGTAAGAAAGTCCCAACGGTAGCCGAAGAGCACGTAGTTAGAACTGTCCCATGATTTTGTGAGAGGAATGATACTTAACGCGGTTGACCATGTTTGATGTAGGGAGTTTGACATAGGGTGAATTACGCCCCGTGCGTTTGGCTGAAACAGCCAACGAGCAAAGCAGCGGTGTCAAATTGCAAGGATTGCGCCCACGTGGGAGTCCGCTGACTTTATGAAAAAGGGGGATTATCAGTTCAGAACGTCTCTTGTTTGGTAGATCACTAAACAGGGACGCCCATACTCCACATGAATCAGTCAACAATTTGATGGACTACCAAAGCTTCATCGAAGTGGAACGATTGGTATGCCAAAAACATTCGTTGGAACGGATACACTCGAACCACCCAGACTGGCAACCACGAGTTAAGTACGCAAGGCATATCCCTCCTCAACTTCGCAATGGAAGAGCTTCTGTCAGTGCACAGGTTTTCAAAATTTTTGCCTAGTTTTCTACCGGTGAGCGCGCAAACGAGTCGGGTATTATACTGTTTTAGTCAAACAGTAATGATCACACTGGTTAATTGGATCTGCATATAGCAGAAGATACTGCCAGCTAGGCATCATTCCGATTAGTGTGTTTTTACAGAAACGAACACCCACAAGAATTAAAACTGTACACGTAATTACTAACTTTGACAGTTTACAAGATCGCGAAGTCCGTCAAATTTCGACGCATTTTCTAAGGACGAGTTAACTGGACATCGCAGACAGCCGTTGTGCATGTCAGAAAAGGACCGACTACTTGTTTCAGACATACCCGAATCATCCGAAATGCAAAGTTCAAATGTTCCCTACAAAACTAGAATCTTTGATTGTCGGAACTGCTACGATTATTCCTCCGCCGAATTATGGTAGGTGACTTCTCTCCAAGCTAAAATTCAGTGGGATGGCGGAACACTAAGAGAATCCCGTAAGTGTCTTCCTGTTGATCCAGACCTAGCGAGGGTTGAGTAAGGTGCTCCGAGTTCTTAACAACACGATTGGACAACCAGAGATCACACACAGACAACCAATAACAGTCCCCTTTACCCCGTACATAGAAGTCCCCTAGTGTGCCAATTACGTGAAGCAAAGGGACATGAAGAGAAATCGAAAAACAAAGAGTGAAATAAAGTCATTTGAAAGATAGGTAAAAGGTACCAATATAGTTGGAAAGTACAGAAAATAGTATAGAACAATGAGAATAGGCAAGTCGGAAAGAACAAGGGAAAGTTTCGGTGTCGCCGACTAAACGTCTATATACTTTCAAACTTTGTTGAACCGGCAGATTCTCTGACCAAAAGTTTCCCGGAAACGATTTCTAGTGTTAGATGACTCGGCGCGGTAGCCGTTCCGTGATCTAAACCGGTCGGACCGCGGTTTGTCCAGAATCAATGGAATGCCCAGGAGTTCAGTTTCAAGTAAGACTGGAATGATAGGAGAAACCAGTGAGTGTTCCTCCTTTAGCGGATCGTTGAGCCGTAAATGATGAGGTGCTCAGAGGTCTAGATGGATCAAAGACGTAACATGTGTAACACATACTTGAGTCAACGCAACACTGACCACGATTGCTGTCATGAGCAGACCCTCGTGTAACAGTCATGGTGAAGCAAGGGATAGGAAAGAAAAACGAAGACAAGAAACCCAGAAGTACACTAAAATGAGAGAAAAATTTTCCACCAATGCAGATAAGAAAAAAAGTACAAGATAAGAGTTATTCAGGAAATATGGGAAAGGTTCTTGTTGCCACCCAAGAGCGCTTAGGATGACCTTCAATTCACCTAACCGTCAGATTCCTAGACCATTTCCGGAAGTACTGTTTAAGCTCTCGATTGACCAGGCGTGGCAGCCGAATTTTCGTACTAATCTCCGAATCGGGCAGGCAGCTTGTCCAGCTTCATTGGAATGACGCGTCAAGAACGACAATCTGCGGACTGATAACCACGACCACCAGGGGGCCCCATCCTCAGACACAGCAGAGTATTAAGATGACTATTTCTAAACCTCGGTAATGCATTGAAACAAACCCTAGAATTAAGTATAGCGCTAAGAGTACATCTTTCTCCTCAACTCCTCAAACAAACCGGTACACACTCGTAAAATCGTCTCTATGCTCCATTTTGTCCCGTACGATACAAGGTCAGACGAAGCTGGACGCAGTA